CCTTAAACAGCATTGGATACTGTAAGAACATTGGCAAAACCCTCTTAGAACAGCTATACAAGCGGAATGGGTACACCTAATAGGACACCAGTCATTTAAGAGGTTGTATAAGGGCTGCATCAGTGCAAGATTCAGTTTTTGTCAACTATACAACTATTCTGTTACGTCGGGCTTAGTATTTGATTCATACTTTGACAATGATCAAAAGTATGTCTAGATTTTTAAGATGGAAAACTGAACTTATCTGCGTTAAATCTTCCCCAAATCCTATATTTGGACACAATTACACTAATTTTTGTCACTTTATACCTGTAATTTCGAACTGAAACACAATTATTTAATATTAAATAGAGGAACAAATCTTTGCCCAATATGGCGGGTGGTTGTGTACAATCATGGCATCGTCCATGTTGTCTTCAGTTTATTAGAATATTTTGGTGTTGCCTGCAGGTGTTATACAACAATTTGACAGATGTCTGAAATGAAATACCGACAGAGTCGAATGATTTACCCAGAATTTGTACCAGATCTATATCTTCTGTTTGAACAGTTGATGAAACCTTTTGAACCAATATGCATGCGTTGTTTGTCCGACGTGGATGATTACTGTTATCAAAGAACAGACATCCGCGTCAGTGAAACAGACATCTCTCCAAGGAAGCTAAATCGTCAGATTTGTGAGATATGATATTAATTAATAAAAAAAGTTATTTCGATTGCTAATGTTATCAGATTCAAGTAGAAGTTGCGATGCTGCGAAGTATTGTATATACAACAAACATCCTGTGCTTATTCCGTAGTTTCCGTTCCGGAAACAAGAATTTTACAACATAATAAGGAAACGATTCCATTGCTGACATGGAAATACAAGAACTTAAATAATAAAATTCCGCTAATAAAATCTCTTTATTGGTAGTAAATTCTTTCTCTAATAAAAGCTCTGAATGTAGGTAGATTCTGGAAGAGATAGCCCCTTCGCGAAGTATCCAGAGATATCAAGGTATCTTTATTAGTTTTAACTTTAAGTGGATCTTCTGATGGATCTCATAATAGAGACACCAAAATGATGCAAAAAGTAGTATAATGATTTAATTTTCATATCGATTTCTAACTAACTTAATGAAAAAATAGTACTGTGTGAGGTGGATTGCTTAATTCTGAGTGACAAAATTAAAAAGGTTGATATTTGTGCGAGACAGTTTTTCAACAAAAAATTAATTGCTCAAAATTCCGTTAGCTATCAAGCTTTTACTAAAGCAAAGTCTTACCTTATAGCAGGTAATAACCCCTCCTATTTGCAGATGCAGGATTATCCTTCAATTTTTTAACACCCTGACAGTTGTACGTTTTCGCTAAAAAATTAAATGACACACCCTGTATATTTCTATACTATCAGATAGACCATTTTTTTCAAACGATTTTTGCGATATAGCTGTTCATTAAAAAAAAATTGGATATTTCACTATTTAAACATATAAAGAAAACTTATGAAAATGGAGATCCGATAGGGCAAAGGTATAGGTATAGGTATAGGTAGTTCCATTTACTTTGCTTATTTTTTTTTGAAAAGTAGTTTGCGCTTCTGACCACTTTGTATTGATTAATCAAATGACTCGATAAATGGATGAATTAGGCTAAAATTAACTAAAATAAAAAATATTACTTAAAATTCCGAGCTACTTGTGTCAACATGGCAGATATGCAGGCTGTCAGACTTTGATGTTTGTTTTTTATATAAAATACCCACTAATTCGACAACTCATAACCAAAGCCCATAAGTATGTGATACCAATCTTGTTCTTTTAAGAGGACCTGTCCGAACATGTAATAAAAAGCGGGGCGTTCCAGTTGAGAAAAATCAACATTTATATGTTTGTCAACATTGAGACACCCTGTGTACCTAATTGAGAATATCTTAGTAATACGATTCCACATACCATGAACAATAATCCATAAATAGCTTTCCTTGAATACTTGTTGGTTTTTGAGCAATACTCAGTCCTCGTCCACTTTCAAAGTACATTTGTATACTAAGGGACATATAAATCCGTACACCCAGTTTAAATGGTTTTATTTTAATAAAAACTTAATGAAGCATAATAAGTAAATGATAAAAATTTCAAAATGATTGCACTGCTTTAAAGCCCTTTGACCTTTAATAATGTGTAGATGCACCCTGATGTGCTACGCATTCTCCAACGCGCCTAGGCATGCTTCTGAGCAGGTGGTCAATGTCCTCCTGTGGTATCTCATTCAAGGCAACCACTAACTCCTCTCGAAGTGCTTCTAGAGTCTGAGGAGGGCGTTGCAAATTGAGCAATCTTCTACCCATCATATCCCACACGTGCTCAATTGGGGATAAGTCGGGAGATCTTGGTGGCCATGGTAACAATGTGACTTCATTATGTTGAAAGAAGCCTATTGTGACTCTTGCAACATGTGGTCGGGCATTATCTTGTTGGAAAGTTGGATCTGCCAGGGTGTCAAGATAGGGTAAAAGATGGGGTTCTAGAACTTCGTGGATATAACGCTGCGCGTTCGTGTTACCTCTGATGAAGATTAAAGGTGACCTGGAACCATAAGCTATAGCACCCCAAACCATAACTCCAATAATCCAATCCAATAATCTTAGACGGCGATCTTCACGGTCTGTTGTTCTACGACGGCGTCCAGTGCCCCTTGCTCTTTGCGTACGGCATTCTCGAAGCCATGCCTGACAACACCTAATCACAGTGTCTACACTTCTTTGCACTCTAACTGCAATTGCCCGAAAAGAAAGTACAGCTTCCCGAAGTCCCACTATACGGCCCCTATCAAACTCACTAAGTTGACGAAATCGTACAGGTCTCCGTACTCTAGGCATCGTAACCGATCGTAAAGGATGTCAAGAACCAAAATCCGCCAACGTTGATTCTTTACTGCGGCTGAAATATTCATTTTTAGAGCGTTAGTGAATTAAAAAAAAGCAGTATAAAAACCGGAATGTCCAACTGATAAGGCTGAAAATTTTTTCACTTGTTATTTACAGCAAGATAAATACATTCACCAACTTTTATTAAAATAAAACCATTTAAACTGGGTGTTCGGATTTATATGTCACTTAGTATATTACCTCGATGTGACACTACCCGATCGGTTACTCATATAATCCCACTTCTGATGACCCATTAAAAATTTTATTGGCCAACTTTGCATTACAGTTAAAATAAAAGTTCTGCTATTCTTCTATCTATAGCCATCTCGGCGGATGTGCTTTTATAGTCGAAAATATCAAAGTTAAAATTGAAAAATGCTCGAGACGAGAATTAAACTCGCTGCTTAGGGCTTGTTCAGCGCTTATGCTAAAAACTGCTGGGCTTTAGCCGTTTTTAATGGGTATCCTCGGTCGTAAAAGATAGACGAATGTTGACATAGGTGTCCAGGAAAACTTTACAAAGGGTACTTCTAGGGGCCTTGTCGTTTAAGCAAACTTTAAGGATATCCTAAAAGCAACTTGTCGACGACCTAGAGATTGATCTCAGAGGTTATTTGGAGGTCAAGTCAAATACCAAGTATCATTTTTGACAGCCTATTCGTGTCGGGCTCAAGATTTCACATCGTAATCCAACTTCATGAAGGACGTACATTGAAAATTTTCATAACAACTGTTTAGAAATCGTGGGAACTGTCAAGTCAATATTCTTTTTTATTTTTGAAAAGTATGTTGGTGACAAGCACTATTGTTACTATAATTTGGACTCCTTGAATCCGTGCAACTGTCAGAGCCAACGGTAGATAGATGACTCATGTCTTATTCCATACAGATTCCCATACAATACGATTTCAAATAAAAAAGGCTCATTAGTATAACATCTAAGCATACTCATTGGGAAACTCTTTATTAAGGAAGTTATGGATGAAAATATGTGAAGAAAGAGAAACGCCAATAGCACTGGACTATCATGGAGGTGGAAACCTTGCCTTGGATTGTACGTAATGCGGTGTTGCCAAGCGAACCGATGAGTCAATGTTGCAGAATTCGTGGTGATCCTAACCTTTTACTTCGACTTAAAATGGAACGCGGTTAGGACTGATCTGGAATAGATTCTAAGATTCACAATTCAAAAATGAGTATGCTTAAAATAAAACATCATGCATCATAATTCAAGGAACTGGTGTAACATATTAGCGACGCGGCAAATTGCCACGACGATATAGTGAGGGCAGGCTGAAGAAAAACATTAGCTTATTGTTCATTTTTACCTAGTTTGTATGTATTTTTGTTAAACATTTCTATAATAAATGGACCCAGTATGAGCATGTTTAATTTCTTTTCTTCAAACTCTTAATGGTAGGTAGCTAATTTGACATTTCTATTTTACTACCACAAATTTTTAAATACGGTTCTGTATAACACTGGGCAATCAAATGCTATTGGAAACTAGATGGCCGACTAGCACCACCTTCTGTCCGAGTACTGACAAAATTGCACCTTTTTTATCAATATTTTTTTAATAAAATTACTGGACTGTATTTTTTGTCCAAGAAAAGCTAACAATATGTATGGTCACATCGAAAATCATTAGTTGTGTTATCTTGAAGACAAAATACCTAGCTACACTTATTTGCATTCCACTTTTCTCTAAGCGGTGCGACCACTGGCACATTCACCCTAGTTCCGCATCATCAAGCTTTATGCGTATTATTTTTTTATCCAAACAATTAATTTATGTCAAATAGTCTAAAAATAAGTGGGAACTTAAAATTTGGAAAATGTGTCGGACTTAAGAGATTTTGGGATCATTTTAATCCCTAAATAGGGGTAATATTTGGATATTTTCAAAAAACAAAAAGTAATGCCTTATTTAATTTTTCATAATGAATAATTTAGGAAACCTTGATACATACTCAATTTTGCTGTGTCATGGATTCCGTGTTACCTTCAGTTGTATTGTCTGCACTTCACTAATTAATACACCCACGTATTTTGAAACATGAAAACTTAAAACAAAATCGTACAATGTTGAAGTTTTATTATTATTTATTCATATACATATTTAATACAAATCATTTAAACAACTCTTCACCAATATCAGCAATATGATTTAATATAAAATCGATGTCCTTTTTTGTCAGAGCAGAATTTTGCGATACGAACCTGAAGAAGTTAGGTAGTCCCTTCAGCGGTTGGTAACCTAGCATAACTGATCCATGCTTGACCATCACAGATCTGATTTGTGGCGCCACCTGTCGAAGATACCTTGTATCAAGTTTGTATCGATTTTCGCAAGAAACAACAGCGTATAGGAACCTATGGTTGGTAAGGGCTAGAAGAGAGCTTTCGACAATCGTTAACATTGCTGCTGGTAGATGGCGCGATGATAGAGATTCAAATATTAAGATGTCAAACATAATTTGTGAGCGAATCATGAAATTAATGGAAAATGTTTTCGTTTCTAAGGTTAAAAAATGTAGAATCACATTTGTCTTGATGCAATTGTTGTGATTGCCTGCTTTGTTTTCTTTGTTTCTAATTCACGGAGTTCATACTTTTCCCAACAGATGTCGACTGTGTTAGGTTACACATGGGGAATTTCAAAAGAAGATGAATGTGCTATATAATTTAAACATTCATATAGCAGTGTTTAAGCAGTTAAATTCGTTGAATGACAAGAGTTAAGAGAACCTAGTGAAATTTGTTCAAAGAGGTGCATTAATTGTTTGATTCTATAATTTTCAATGCTTACTCAGCCGTGTATGCTAACAAATTCAGATTATGCAGAAGGAGCCAGTCAAGGGCGTCGCCAGCGAAAGGCCCAGGGGGGCAAGTTAATTCGATGAATGAGAAATGCATAAATTGAAGGTAAAGTCAATAGCGTATCAAATTTTACACGTCTAGTATGGTGATTGTGATAAGAACAGTAAGAGATCTTGGCTGTACGGTAATTGAAACTTAAATTAAATTACGTTGTTATATTCATTATAACTTGAGCCTGTATCGTCAGACGTTCCTAAAATTGTAGGATGCCTTTATGGCCTCCTTGATTGTCATACTCATTTCTCTCCTGTTCTGTGTAAGCGTCAGTCCTCTCCTATTGTGAATATATGTTTTCTTTTTAAATTGTAGGAAATTTCAGGCTGATAAAACATGATATAAATCAAAAGCAATTTGATGCAGACAGATATTTGTGACATAACCTCAAAATAGAGCGCTGATACGGAAAATTAGAAAACTATGACAATCCAGGAGGCCATAAATGCGTCCTACAATAATTGCAGAAACGACTGACGATAAGGGCCTTAGAGTTTGAATATTACGAATGGAAATGGTAAATTCGGTCGGGTTTCGACGTATGGCAATGATCGAGCAAGCACGCTAAGGGAGTTTATTCAAGAATTTTATTGATTTGCATTTCACTATATTTTTCAGGGTTTCTGCCCCTGGAGCCAGTAACGATTTATTTAACTCCTAATTCTGGTTTCTGATAGAATATGCACTTGACACAAGTTAATTTTTTGACAGTTGTAATAAGATTCCTAAGCCTAGTGTTATTTTTTGAAAGCCCGATTTGCAGATAATTGTGGTGTTAGACGATTTCAAGACACGGTGCTTCCTACATAGTTTGCAAAGCCTAAGCCTAATCAAAGTAGATGTTTCCACCGGTAAGTATTGTCATTATGTTGATACAACGCTGTCACTATGGTAAACATTCGTAGACAAATGAGTAAAAGCAATGCAGTGTAAGCATATAAGCTTGACCTGTTGTCTACTCGAATTCGTTGGTGTAGTCAGAACCTAAATATGGAGACTGATATTAAGATATCAAAGATCACTTCTTCAGCGCTAAAATACGACTTCCTCATAGAGGTTACCCCAGACGAGCAAAGTTTCCTGACATATCCGTTTCCAGACCGTGTGTTAAAAAAATGTCAATTCCGCAGACTAACAAGTTTATATCGCCTGAATTATATTAAGCTGATGTTCTTAAGGCAACTCTGTTCACAAACTTCATCTCGCTATCTCTGGCACCGAGCACCTGTGCAAAATTCAATAACAGCATTGAAGAAGCACAGTTTCGGCAATTCCTATTCCATTTACTCCTCGTCAGACTACCATGATGTTATTGGATTTTCTCCAATAATACCTAGTCGCGCGTCGATCTCAAAATACAGTCAAACTAGTTCCGGCTCGGAAACAATATTGTCTTAGATCGCTCGTATAAAACAGCGGATATCAAGTTAGGTTCTTAAGATAATAATGATAAATTTCTTCGGGGGATTCCACGTTTAGTGAACAGCGCGCGGTAATTCCCCTACTCACTTTAGAACCGATTATAGCGAGTAGACGTTTTGTAAGCATAGTAAAGCAAGTTAACATTTGTGTTACCATTGATTCCACTAGCCAAAATTTAATGTTTAAATAAGATGTCGTTTCACATAGACAAATCCAAGTTATACCAAAAATTGTTTGAAAGGTTTAAAAAATCTCATACAAGTACGAAAGTACAAAATGTACAAAAGTTAGTTAAAGAAGTGTGGCGAAATTACAAATTACAAGCAAAATCCGACAAGGAACTAGATATTATTGTATCTAAGAGAATCGAAGAAGAATTGCAAGCGGCGACTAAGAATAAATCCAATCTACTAAATTTTTTTTCTAAGGTGAGTGACGAAATCATTTTAGGTACCTATGAGTACTAGAAATATTAGAAATCCATATATATTGCCATACTTAGCTTAATAAGAGAATCTTTAGCAGAAGCCATAGAAAGTTTTTATTTTTAGGCAACCTGTCAACCTGCAGAAAAAACACAAATTATACAGTCAGCTTCAAATATTAAAAAAGAGGAAGAACATAAAGTAAAACCCGATAATGAATCACAACAGCAATGCGAAATTAATGAAAATATAGATAAACAGAGAGCAAAACCTTCTAAGGAAGCGATGAAAAATAAGATTGCTCTACTCGAAAAAAATCTGAATGCTTTGTATTCTGCCAGAAATACTATGCCAAGCCGTGCTAAAGTTGATAAACAGATCATTAAGTTGCGCGAGGAAATAAAAACAGCAAAACAGCCTTTAAACAGTAAGGTTCAAAACGCAGTTGCTCAGAAGAAACACAGGGATGGTATGAAAAGAAAGTTAGAAGATATTTGTCATGAAAATCCAGAGATAAAAAAAATACTATCTCTGACGGATCCAGTGTGACGTCCTAATCTTGAAAGCAATCAACATTCACTATTGAAAACAATCCCGGATATAGCTTTATTTGGGAGTGCAGCAGATGATAGAAGACGAACGGAATCAATTCGCAGCGTAAAAACTCTTGATAAACTCACACAAGGATTACGTAAAATAGGATTTGACATTAGTCGCAGTGGGACATATCTTCGTTTGATTCCCAGAAAATCTAATTCTGCAGAGGGACGAAGACATGTATCGACAGTCCCTGTTAAGCTCATTCGGGCTCAAACTGATTATCACAAGAGCCACTTAGATAGCAAGTTCGCTGAAACATCAATCCATTATTTAGAGAACATAGCATCCATACTTGGACCAGATCAAGTATTTTTCATATCTCAAGATGATAAAGCTCGAGTCCCTGTTGGCGTAACTGCGGCAAATAAGCAAGCACCTCGTCTAATGCACATGGAATATAGAATCAAATTTCCTGATCACGATTGGGTAATCGCTGAGCGTCATAAATTAATACCATCTGTTTATGCTGCTATCGAAATCACTTCCAATATGCTAGGACAACAGCAAGCCCTTGGATATTCTGGACCAACATACATCGCTATTCGAAGTGGAAAGCATAGTTCATCTACTGCTAATACTCATGCTCAGGAGTTCGAGATGCTTCTCGAACTTGAAGAGTTTCGACCATTAGCTAAACCTGACCATGGACTAGTAAAACCAGTGGTAATCATGACGGTTGAAAATCCACGTTATTAAAAAGTCATAAGGTTTGCTATACAACACTTTAAGCGACATGATCTCGATGCATCGTTTTTAGATACCAATGCTCCTGGGAGAAGTGCGTATAACAGAGTAGAGCGCAGAATGGCTTCTCTTAGTCGGGAACTGGCTGGTTTAATATTGCCTCATGACCATTTTGGGTCTCATTTGGATGAACGTGGCGTTAAATCTAGTTTCGAATGCGCAGGAAATGTGTTAGCTGAAGTATGGAGTTCAATGGAAATTGATGGCTATAATGTTAATGCAAAATGTGCTGGGGCAGGTGAACAAGATTTTCCTGATTTTCCAGACATTAAATGGTATAGAACATGTGCGTGAGAGCTTCAAATTGTAAAATGTAGAAATACAGAATGCTGTCGTCCAAGAAGTGGCCTATTTAGATTACTAGACAATAGGTTTCTTCCACCACCTGTAAAAGTAAAGCAAACAGTTGATGACTTGGTTTTGGATGAAGGAGGGCAATTTCTTAATCTTCCAGTCAATTTAGCTCGTCGCTCTACGTAAGCATGGGGGGAGGGGGTAAGAGCTTTGCTTACTTTTGCTGACAAGGGGGATGGGGGAGTAAATAATTGTAATAAATCTGCTTACGTAATACTTGAACGGCCCCTAGGCGTGGGACGTAAACATTATTTCTTTGAGTTCTAGCTCCAACTTAATGTCGGATTCCGTACCTGAACACTCGATTTACCTAGCAAGCATGTCTTTGTATAGATAACAGATACACAGTGGACCACAGGGAAACTAGTATTATTATAATACTTTGTAAGACAACATTTTTTAGTTCCGCTACAGATTGTAACATGTGAATGAAACTTGCTACACTTATGGCGTTTATTTCGAACAGTAACGTTAAAAATGAGTGGCTTGACGATCATAACGCATCAGATTCCGATACCCTCAACTGACTATTGCGCTAAAACTTTTGAAAACATATAACTCTCAACCATCTGTGGCTCGAAAACCCCCTGAGAATAACCGTTGATGCATTTTGTAACAAAAGTTTCTTCCTACGAGTCCTGCACTATCAAAACTGATTCGATGACAACACGTGTGTAGTTGGTGCATTTGGAATCGGTGCGTTTTGCAGTGGAAAGCCTGCATGATGTTCCAATTCCCTTGATTGCGAGAGAGCTCTTTTCGATTATATCGATTGTCGAGTTCATTAGATTTCTAATGGGCTCAAAGGAACCGATACACTTTATATGAATGCGAAATTCGCCTCTCTACGCGAAATGCTAGTTAGAATGTTTCATCTCGTTATAGAATGG